CAAGTCACAATCCAAGTCACAAGTCACAGTTCAGGTCACAACTTAGAATTTTGTTCATAGTCACTGGTTGTTTTCAAATGATCACAGCACAGGTTACAAAATATTTTTGTACATGACTCAGATTGATATTTAGTCACAAATTGTTGAATTTTAAGGTCACGATTAATCCATTATGCGGTCACAATTAGTCCATTATGCCACTCCAATTGATCACGAAACACAACACAGATTCAAACAATTGTCGCCCGCACCTCACCACACCACACCACCACAAGCACCCCACCATCGATCCATATCCACCACCGTCACCACCAAAACCACCGCCGCCTCCGAAGACAACACCACCCCCTCAAACAAATCAACGAAAAAACACCACTGCACCATGCCGCAAAGTACGAATCAAAAACCAAAAAACTCCCAAAATTTCAACCACCAGATAGATTAATTTAGTCACCACCAACATCTCACCTATCACCCAATGCCACGATCGCCACCGCCGACACCGTAAAGTACGAATCAAAAACCAAAAAACTCCCAAATTTTCAACCACCAGATAGATTAATGAAGTCGATGGAAAATTTCAACCACCAGATTGATTAATGAACTCCCAAAAGAAACAGTGCTTACAGATGCAAAATTTCATCTCATAACAAAGAATGCCATGGAGATGGTAGATTAATGATTAATGAAGTCCACCCACATACAGTAGATCTGCACAGTTTGGCACCCGAAACAATCGGTGGTAGGACTACAGTCGCCACCGATGAACCTTCGCGACCTGCAAATGGCGCAGATCTACAACGCCGTCGCCTGGCCAACCACAAATGGGCTGGGTCTATGTCGCCGTGGTGTAGTACTGCAGTCGTCGTCGATGAACTTCGCGATGCTGCTGTAAATTAGGGAGAGAGGGAGGACGCTGGCAGCTACGAGAGAGATGGGGGGAGGGAGAGGAGTTATGCTGAAAGGTGAGAAATTAGGGATTTAAGTTGGGTTGGGTTGGGTGGGGTGGGGTGGGGTGGGGTGGGGTATAAATTAATTTTTATAATATTAAATATTTAATTAAATATAAAAAATCTGTATCTACCCATAAAACATCTGACTTTTGAAAATAAAAACATGAAATCTGATTTTAGAATTTGGATTTTCAAAAGTAGGGGAGAGTGTAATTTCCACTTAAATCATGTTTGGTGTACAATGTTCATTGACATGTCATTGGACAATTTGAAAATTTGTCAATTTTTTGACAAAACAACTTTATCGATTAATATTGTCATTCAATATTGTACAAATAACGTAATTGTTCATTTTTTTAGCCTATGTTCGAGGAGTGTTTATAAAACACACAAATCATTTTTCATTTATACATTTTAGAAAATCGACAAATATTACTAAAACACTACTCGTTTTTATCTAGATATATAATTTATAAACATGCCTTCAGTTTTGATATCTTTTTTCTGTCCCAACAAATCATTTACCCGCGTATGCTATTGGGTAGACGATCCCATAAAAAGCTCCAATGTTTTTATTTTTATTTTTTATTTAAGGATCGTTTGATTGCAATTGTGAAAAATAAGTGGAAAGAAAATATTTTACAGGGAAAAGATTTGCCTAGAAAATGTTTTGCAAGGAAAATAATTTCAAGTGTGTTTGATTGGTATAATTTTCCACCCGGAAAAGNATTGGTATAATTTTCCACCTAGAAAATTTTTAAATTTTCTATTCGTTTGGCTTTGTTTTATATGAAAATTGTCCTGATATTTTTTTCCATAATTGGTTATAAAATTTGTTTCCATTGCGAAAAAGTAAAAAAAAAAAAACGAAAAAAAAAATGTTTCCTAAAAAATCATTTTTTTCATCAAAGTTTAGTGTTCGTTTGACTTCGTTTTCTATGAAAATTGTCCATGAAAGTGAAATTTTTTTTTACATTTGGTTATGAAATTTGTTTATATTGCCAAAAAGTAAAAAAAAAAAAACAAAAAAAAAAAAATTTTAACGTGAGCGGTGGGAAAAGCTTTTCCCACCAAAAAGTTGGGAAAAGCTTTTCCTTAATTATGAAGAAAACAGGCGCGTGAGCCCAGCCATGGCAAAATGTTTTCTTGTCAAAAAAAGCCCTATGAAACACTACTAAAAGTGGGAAATGAAAAATGGTTTCCATTTTCCCTAGAAAACCTCATCTATCAAACATGCCTTAAATGTTTTTAATGGAGAGCATGTTCGATACACGAACTGAATTCAACTAATTTACCTTACTAAATACGCCACGAGAATTGAGACTTCTCGTCCAACACCCAAACTGACTCCATTACACTACCTGTCCTCTTTCTCTTTTCCCTGTAGCAATCGGGAAATAAAAAACATAACTCACAATACATATTTTCTCTACTTTCGGTCAAAAATACAACAGTAATTGCATCACCATCCAAAATTTAGATAGCCAGATTCTCTTTGACTTTGCTAATAGCAGGATAACTTATGAGATGAGTAACTAAAGCCAGCATAAAATACAAACGAAGAAAGCACGACGATAGCTTGGTCAAAGGAGGATAACAGAGAAAATCGAAGACTGAAACTACTACTAACACTACAACGGCCAACCACGAACTAAAGTCCCATGGCAATTAACTCTACTAGGGTGCTTCCCAGAATATTGGATTCGAGGAGGAAAGCAGCCCTTTGTCCTTATTACGATGATGGAATAACAAAGTGCATACATTACATACTGTCTATGCAGTATAGTGCAGAAGAAGATCATTTCCACGGCATGCCTTGAACGTTATTGTTACTGAAAGGTCCAGTGCTCTGATTGAGTGGACTAGCGGGCCCACCAGAGGATTCACTCAGAGTCCCATGTGATGGTGAGCTGCTGGCACCAATTGCACCACCCTGGTTGATATTTGGTGGAGCCGATAAAGGCTCCATATGGTTCGCTGGTTTTGGTTCCTTGCGACCATCAGGTATGAAACTGCCAACAATTACCTGCCAAGTGGGAGAATTTACTTTAGTAATGCGAAAAACATTGATAATGCATTACATAGCATTAAGCAACAGCATTATGAAGTACTACAAAGGAGCGTGATCTGTAGGGACCCTAGTGTGTTCTGTTCAAATGTTGTGTTTGGGATATGAAGGAATTCAATATTCTTGTCTTGATTGAAATATTTCTGTTATCGAAAAATTCAAGTGCCAATTCAGTGCTAGTAGGACAAACAGTAATTATATAAAAAAACAACTATGATCAAAAAAAATTAATCAACTCGACGAGTAAATGATGGGATCTGACACGGATGTAATTAGGAGTATATGTATATTAACCAAAATCCTAGTGAATCCACATTACATATAAATCCAAAACAATATGAACTATTATCACAAGATTTGATATAGTTCAAACGAGATGGATAGCCAGAAGAAATGTCAACCTTCCAATTTCTGTCCTCATGTCTGAAATTTCAGAAACCATGCTATTAGTTGAGTAAGCTTTCATATTGATATGACTGGAATGACGTGTAATCTTCAACCCATCATATATACAATAAGCTAAGAAGCAATGTACAGACAAATAATGAAGGTACAAAAGCACTACACGTGTTCCAAGATGTTGCAATATGGACTACAGATTGAAAATGAGTGCCTGTATGCAGTAAAAGAGTCGAAATAAGAGCAAACAAACCTGTACAGGAGATGCAGCAATTAGTAAACCAGCCACACAACCGCCTAGAACCCTTCCATCAGGACCAGCTAATGTAATGCTTAATCCACCGTTTCGGCTCCTCTGGCCGCCAACTTCTGATAGCATAAATGAGCCAGAAAGGGACAAAATCTCGAACCGCCCCTACGTAAGGAAAAATGATAAGCAGGAATTCACAAACAGATGTAATAAATAAACTATTCCATCGGAAGAAATTCCCGAGAAAGCATGGACATTTTAGTCTATCATAAACAAGAACATAAAACTTTTTAACTCAAGACTACTAAATTTCTGATAGCCTCATCCAGATTGGGATATTCGAAGTAAGATGTCACACGATTCAGACACTATAGTTATTACTAAGCCTCTTAAGATACATGTGAAAAGATAAATTAAAAATATCACTAAAACAAAATACTTTCACAAATTTTAAATTTGTTAACTCCTCCAAAGATCAGATTTGTTATTATTATTAAGCATAAAGGAACTAGAAGAAACGAACAGACACAATAATAAAAAACCTCATAAGTTGCAGTTCCCCCAGATGTTGCAGCTTGGCTAAGTGTCACATTTGATATAGAACCATTTGCAGAGAGGACGCAAACAGCCCTTGGACCATTTTGAGAAAAAGCCATTATTTTCAAAGACACGTCCTGAAAACCAATTACTAAAAATTAGTGACATTATACATAATTCTCTCCTAATCATCCTTTATGTAGTTCATAGCAGTGTGCATGCCAAGATCTCCATCAGGTAAAAATCTTAAATCAATTGACTTGTATTATTGAAAATACCTGCAAAAAATGAAAAAGAAAAAAGAGAGAGAAAGAACCATCTCCGATCAACAGTTAATCTTTGGTGAAATTTTAATTTGAATAAATGCGATAAAAGGAACGTAAGATCAAATGTTGTGACTTTGGGGAAATTTTAATTTGAATAAATGCAATAAAAGAAACATAAGATCAAATGTTGTGACTTGGGATTTGATGTAATGCTAGTGTACTTTAAATAAATGAGAAGGTTATATGAAATCAAGAGAACCATCGCAATTAGTTAAAGAAAAAACTTCTGATTTAAGAAAGAACTCAGTATAGAAGAGGACAAAGGAATAATGAATTTTTCGTTCACCACACCACCATAATACCTATATATGTTATGCATACACAAAAGAAAAACATTAACTTTTTTAAAGTTTCTTTTTGCAAACCAAAGAAATATAGGTAAAGCCTAGGTACTCCATTATTTACATGTAACTACTTAATCCGTCCCATTAGTATGGTGCTGCATATCAGATGTTATTTAGAGCCCGTCTGGAGAAAATTAAAAGGAAAATTCCTACCGTTGCTTTCCCACTTGCAGCTGCCGTTGTTGACTAGCTAACTCACATGTGGGTCCCAGTTTAATTTTCTCCAGACAATGCCTTACTTCTTACCATTACCAAATACTGGTTGACAAACCTACCTCGTTGACTCAATTAATTAGCTTCACTTTTAAAATAAAACAGAATATTGAAAAGATTAGTTGACACAAAAACCATGGCATTACTGACCGTACATAAACAAAAAAAAAAAAAAAAATTATACAATGCTTTAGTGATCTGCAATCAAAAGAACCATCGCAATTAGTAAAAAACTTCTGATTTAAGAAAGAACTTAGTATAGAAGAGGACCAGGAATAATGAATTTTTAGTTCACCACACCACTATAATACCTATATATGTTATGCATACACAAAAGAAAAACATTAACTTTTTTAAAGTTTCTTTTTGCAAACCAAAGAAATATAGGTAGAGCCTAGGTGCTCCATTATTTACATGTAACTACTTAATCCGTCCCATCAGTATGTTGCTGCATATCAGATGTTATTTATTTCTTACCATTACCAAATACTGGTTGATACTCGTGTATTGAAGTGCCAGTGCAAACCTACCTCGTCGACTCAATTAATTAGCTTCACTTTTAAAATAAAACAGAATACTGAAAAGATTAGTTGACACAAAAAACATAGCATTACTAACCGTACATAAACAAAAAAAAAATTATACAATGCTTTTTAGTGATCTGCAATTCCACACAAACCTAAGTTCAAATCTTCCACTACATTTTTCAAGCAAGTACACATCTGTCATGATGAAGTACAATATTACATAACATAAAAGTAAAATCACAAAAGCAACTCCTTTTCTTCTGTTCTGAAGGAGTATACAACCCTAAGGAGTTTACCACGTAACTTATTTTCATATACAGTAACCACTACAGAAAGCAAGCAACGGTAGTTTGGTAAAGAATCATTTGGCTCTTAGTGGAAATTGAGTAAGTACCATTATTAGATAGAATTCTACAGACTGTTAAAGGACACAGACATACAAATAATTTGGTGGGAGTCATTACCTTATCAGCTGCATTCACTGCATGGTATAATTATTAAGATAAGCTAAATACTAGTCTTATGCACCTTCAACTTTAGGACACACTTGGAAGAACTTTTATAACGAAAATAAGACAAGGCTCTAGGCGATTCTATTTACCTTTATCAGTTTCTTAGATAAACGAAATAGATGAAACATTGCTTCTAGAATAGTGAATACATTCTACTGACTTAACAAATAAGAATGAAAGGGGTAAAATGTTAACCTCTCCTGCCGTTACACTGATAACATGCGGAGTAAATCCAACACCAGTTGATCCTGAAAAAAAAAATAGCATAAAAAAATGACAATAACATTAAAAAAAAAAAGTGATGAAATCATAGACTATAGTGAATAAAACAAAAGAAAAATAAAAGAATACTAATAATTAAATATCTTCGGAAAAAAATAGATAAAATAAAAATGAATAGATGAAAAGTAAAGAATATGACAGAAGTCATGTTAATTTTCACGAGTAAAAATGATAAAATAATTAATTTTCACCACAACAATAGTAGGCAGATTATACTAAAAGCAAAAGGAAAGCAAGGAAGCAGGACAGGGGCATACTGGTAATCTCCCCTTCTATAAAATTTTGGAGACCCAAAGTTCCAGCAGACACCCATACCTCAATTTGATTTCATTCACCCATAAATATAGTTTCCCATTTTCTGTATTGCTATATTATAGCAACAAGAACCACCCCCAAAACCTATTTATAGTTTCTTATTATAACTAGCATTAAACAAAGAAAGAATAGAAACGTGTCTGGTTCAGCTTAAAAGTGATTCAAATTTACTTCAAAAGTCACTTATTTTGTCAAATATTTTTGAAAGAAACAAAGTTATCCATTACAAAGATTTAATTTTTCAATCAAAGATTCGTCAAATAATTTAATTTAAACCCCATCTAGTTCATTTAGATATACATGTATAGCTTCAAAGAAAAAGAAAGGGTCTTTACCCATAGTTTCCTTATGTTGCTTCTTGCTGGAACCACGAGGTCGACCTCTGCCCTTTTTGGTAGTTGGCGAGGCCGATCTGCCCAGAGGTGGCTGCATCTGCGGAGGAGTTGCGACGGAAGGTGGAGTTACCATAGACTGTGAGAAAGTCCCACTGGTCGGCGGAGAGACGCCGACGGGCCTCTGGGCTGACGTCATGGCCACTGCCATGCTGCCATCGGGGCCGTACTTCCTCGGCCTCCCCCTCTTCCGCTTCTGCTCACCGGAGTTCAAACTCGTTTCATTTTTTACTGTGGCCGCGCCCGCAGGGGCAGGGTTGTACGGCTGCGGGGATGATCCTACGGGCCTGTACACGGTGGCACTGCCATCTGTGCTGTACACCATCCGCATAGACTGGTCCAACTGCGCCTGCGAAACCGCCGGGGTCTGTGCTGGTGCCGGAGGATTATGGACGGCGGAAGAAGCGTGTGCGATTGTGAATGGATCCCGACTGGTCATCAAAGTGTTGGCTTCAGGCCCCGACATTTTCTTGCCGGGTGTCTTGAATTACCTTGATTTTTTTTAAAAATTACCTGACAAAAGGACCACAGAACAAAATGAGATCTTCTGCTGAAGAACTAAACCCTATTCACATTTTGAAAGTAATTGAATTCAACTGTCACTCATTTCTGCACTGAAAAAAACAAAGAAGAAGAAGAAGAAATAAGAAACTTTGATGAAAAAATCAAAGTGAAATTTAGTAAGAACTAGTGAGAAATCAAAGAAGTCCGAACACTAACAGCGAGATTTTGCCATTAAACATCCAAATTTGAGCTGAATTTTCCCAATTTTTGAAAGAAATTAGCCAAAAAAAGGGCTCGAAATCACCTTTAAACAGGAAAACCAGTTTTTGAAATTTTTGATTTTCACAAATTTAATAAAAACAAAATAATCCTAAAATTGAAAAGAAATTTAAGAAAATAGCAGAAAAAAGAGGAAAAATAAAAAAAATCTCACAATAAATAGGGAAAATTCTTTGAAACAGCGAAGAATTACAGAGATAGAAAGAAATAAAGCAAACGAAATTTTTTAGGGTTTTGAGAGAGGCTTTTTTGTAAAAAATAATTGGGATCGTTAATTAATATATTTAAGGAAGGAAGTGGCATTTTCAGTAATTACTTTCCCACTTATGTCTTCTGTACGAAGAATATGACCAAAGATGAAAAATAAAAAAAAAAATAAAAGAATCGATTTGTTTATTCTTCAAATTCATCATTACACTCTCTCATATATTTCATCTATGTAATTTCTCAATGTTATTTTGTACTATTGATATTACGTGTTTGTTTCAACCCTATTTTTAGCTAAAAATATATTTTGAAATAGTGATTTGATGGAAAATGTGTGGTTAAATAATAATGAAAAAATTTGAATTTGCGCTTAGTACTATTTTATTGAAAAATAGGTAATTAAAAATAAGATAGAGAAATGTATTTTAAAAAAAAAAATTAGAAATAAATACACCCTGCAATATCAATTTAAGTGATAAAAAGTGACATTAAATGAGACGAGCCACAAGATTATGGATAAAATCATTTGTATATTCTCTTGTGTACGTTGGGGTTTACATTCCGTTGAGTTTCAAACTGAAATGGACAAGAATGTGTTTTTTTTAAACTGTCCATGATATCAAGACACGTGACACGATATCAAACTTATTGTCAAAGAAAATGTACATGAAGCATGATTCGTCTATTAGATAGTGTCACGTGTTTATATTATAGCACCAATACTACTCAGTGTTCTAAAAAGTGAAAAACGTGACAAAGTGTGGAGGCTGAATTTTGGGCTAGACATAGACGGAAAAAAAAAAAGGAAAAAAAAAAGTTTTTTCTTATTTTAATAATATTTTAAATTTTTAAATCAATCTAAAAAATATTTAATAATTAAAATAAAATCTACCAAAAAAATAAAATTATAAAATACTATATTGAAAAAA